TTAAAACTGATACTGCATCAGCTTATGTAAGCTTCTTTTCAACAGTTTTGCCACGAGTTTTGGATTAATCATAAAACAGGTATTCCTTATAATCTTCAAGTTCAAACCATTGTAGAATGAGCTCATTTATCTACAATTACAAAAACTAAATGAACTCATTTAACTACAGTTACAAAAACTAAAAGGGGGAGATAGGATTATGACTCCCCCAAATAACCTCAATCATGTTCTGTTTCTTTTAAATTTTCTAAATTGTGACTCAGAAGATCACACTGCAGCTAGCAACACATGTCTTCCATAGCAACAGGCCCTTTAGGCCGAGTTTGGTGGAAGGATTTACAGACTGGTCAATGGAAAGGACCAGATCCAGTAATTATGTAGGGCAGAGGTCATGCTTGTATTTTTCCAGAAGGTGCTTTTCATCCTATTTGGGTACCTGAACATGCCGCCAGGCATAGAGGACTTAGAACCAAGATTCAAAGGACTGAAGATCCACCCAGAGAAGACTTCCCTCAAAAAGAAGAAACCTCAAAAGAAGAGAAGAAGAGTGATGACCCTGAGAAACCGAATGAGGAAGCTAATCCCGTGGAAGGACCTGAAGAAATTGATGCTGTGGGCTACACGAATGATTCAACAGCAAGGGAAAGTTAAAATTCCAACAATGATGCTTGCTGCAGTAATAGCTCTATTGAGCTGTCAAGTATAAGGGAATCAGGGAGAGAATTATTGAACATATTTTCCAGATCTACCTCTAGTACACCCAGCATTGTGGACTGGAGAATCCATCCTGGTATTTACTAATGACTCACGGGAGGATTTACAGACATTCATATTACTCCCAATCATGTGACTGGATTTAATTATTCTGGCTATAGTGCCCAATTACCTTTGCGTTGGTCCCACAATAAACATGCTGGCTGTCTAAAAGTATCATTTGAGGAAAAGACAGCAATTGGGAGACCTAGACCAACTAATCGTACTGGTAATGGAGATATAAAACCTTTTATCAGATCAGTTATTAAAATGGGACTTTCTCATAACAAACCAGTCATCTCAGCAGAACGTCCATGAATACCTCATTCCTCCTAACCATTCTGCGATAGAAATTGGCACCTTTCCTAAGTGGATGGATTGTATAAATACTTTTCCAGTAAAACATAAGGTGTCTAGAAATAGTGGGTATATTTTGGACTGGTCTCCTAAAATTGAAAAAAGGCAGTTGTGCAAAAGTACTGCCATAATGACTCCTGGAGGATTTGTTAGCAACATCTTGACCTTCATTGAAGGTGGCATTCAGAAAGATGTTTGGCGCTTAATTGCTGCCTCAGTATTCTTACATTTTACTAACAGACCTTTACCAGATTTTGTAGGCAAGAACTATAAGGAAGGTTCTTGCTATGGCTTAGAGCCTGTGTTCAATCTCCTTACGTTTTAATTACTGGAAATATAAAAGTTGAATGGAAAGATGATAGATATCTTGTAACATGTGGTAAATGTAATTTAACTAACTGTATCACCAGATATAATAGAGAAAAAGGAATGCCGATATTCCATCAGCCCTCTTTTGTCTTATTGCCAGCTAATATTTCAGAGGCATGGTAAGCTGATGCTGGTTTTCAAGTCTTACAACAGCTAGTGAGACCTAAACGTGCTCTTGGACTCATAATAGTGGGAGTTGTTGCCTTGGTTTCTTTTTTTGCTTCAATGGTCACAGCTTTGGTGGCCATATCCCAAAATATTCAATATGCAAATTTTCTTAATAATTTGGCTCAGAATACTGAGCCAAATAAATATTGATGAAAGTATTGAGACTAAGCTAAGTGCCTTAGAGGCTACTGTCATAAATATTGGTAATGAACTTTCGGTTTAAAATTCAAGGAAAGACTTAAATGTCACGCTAGCTATAAGTATGTATGTGTTACTGCTGCCAAATACAGGGCTTCCCAATGAGATTGGGAGAAGGTTAAAAACCATTTGTTGGGTATTTGGCAAATTAATAATAACAGCTTGGATCTTTTGGAGCTCCATCATCATATTCAAAATATATAAAAAAGCAAGATTGATTTTTTCGGATCCTACTTCTTTCGCCAATCAAATATTAAAAGAATTAAACGGCTCTAACCCTGGAAACACTTTTAAACATTCATCATGGTATATTCTTGTATTGTTCTCTTTGCTACTAATTCTCTTTGGTAGGATGGTGAGCCTTCAAAGCAAGGATTCGGGGACTCAAAAAAGTGACCCATCATCTGCTTTTTCAAAGAAAAAAGCGGGGATATGTTGGAAGCCCTCCTTGAATGACTGGCATTCTCCTTCCCGGGATCGGAGAGACTCTGTCGGTGACTTTCATAGTGACCTGGATATTGCCCCGATCCTTGAAGTAGCAGAATGTGTCTTCAGACATAGGCGTGTCTTTCTGCAGTCCCATGGGTCGAATTACTCTCACCTGTCCTTGTAACCCTGCCCTTCCTGACCTTTTTTGGATGGAACTTTCTAAGAATGAGGGTCCCCCCAATAAAAGCGCATCCGAACGTGCTCTCTGTCTCTCTTGCCAGCCTCTCGTGACTTTCCTCACTCTCCCATTTGGGGAGCTTGAGGCTGAGAGCGGAGGAGCCGACCTGAAGCTTGATTTAAAAGTAAAGTGTGTGTCTGTGTTTTATTTGGTGACCCAGGAAATTCACACCAGTGACCTTAAGTTAAGCTGCTTGCACTGGTTGAGGGCGGCACTTAGGTTGAACAGCTACTTGTGAGCAAGGAGGAGTCGGGAGAAGATGATAACAGTATTGGTGGTTTTAATCGTTTGTGGATAACAGATCCCTTTGTGAATTCTGTTGAAAGCTATAGACTTTCTGCTTGTAAATGCAAATATATACGATATTTGGTCTTATAGTTAATGGATTTATGTACTTCAGAAGCTGGACCATGAATTCCCAGCTCAGAATCCCTCCTGAGAAAATTATATCCAGGGACTTTATACTCACCAGCAAACATTATCCTGGAAGTCAGCTGTCTCTTAACTTAGGTTATGATCGTGTCTCTTGTAGTCTTCTTGAGTTCCCTTCAGACTTGGGAAGACTTAAGTCAAATAGGTGTCTATGAAGAAAAAGAACTTTTTTAAAAAATAATGGTTATAGTAATACTGCTCTTGTCTGTAAAGGTAGTAGACAAGTGTGGTAATTATACCAGCAGTCAAGAAACAACTGCTTGAGGAGAACCTGTCATTCATGAGTTTTGAGTTTAGCAAGGCAGTTGGGAGTCCCAACTCGGGCATTATGATTTGGTAGAAGGACTCACAGAACTCAGAAAAGTTATTATCATCATGGCTATGGTTTGTTACAGTGAAATGATATAGGTTAAAATTAGCAAAGGGGAAAGGCATCTAGGGTGCAGTCCAGGTTCCATGTGTCTATCATGGTAGAGTAGATGATAGAACAGACAAATGGCCTTCATTCTCTCAACAGTAACACAGGACAGTGTGTGTAAAATGTTGCCAACCAAGGCAGCTCACCTGAGCTTCGATGACCAGGGGTTTTATTGGAGGGTCTGTCATGTAGGTTTGTAGTCTGTGTGACTTGACTTCAACTACTCAGACTTCACTGCCCTTCCAACTCCAACATCAAAGAGAGGTATTCACTATAAATCACATTGTTAGTATAAACTATCTGATCAAATTGGTACTGAAGGCCCCAGGCAAACAGAAGCATTGTTATCAGGGAGAATATTCCAGAGGCTAGGAAGCCCATCTCCCAGGAACCAGTCAAGGCTAGTCCTGAAGATAGGGCTTTGTTGGAAATGTGCAGGGTTTGAGCAGCTTGGCCTGCTGAGTTAACTCCTATACTGTAAGTTAGTCATTCAGGGAGTTAGCATTCTCCTGGCCTGCCTATCTGCCTAGCCAGTATATACCTGGTCTCATCTTAGATGGCCATTCCCCATATCTGGACTTTTTCTTTTCCCTTGCCAATGAGTATGAAGAAAGTTTGATTGGACTTAAGGACACATCTGTGCCTTATAACTTCGTGAGAACATGGTGAGATGTAAGTGCCCATTCTGTTGTTCATTCAACAAGCATTGTTTGATGCTGTGTAACATGTATAGTGCTAGATGATAGAGTTACAGAAATGATTAACAGATCTCTGGCTTCAAGGAATTTATAGTTTCATATGGGGAAGAAAAACAAATAGCCATTGTGGTAAGCAATGTGTATCTTGGGGAGCACTTAAGAGAGCATGATTTAGTGTGTGTAGGTGTCTGTGTATATGGGAAGGTGTTGGTGGTAATTAGACTTCCCTAAAGGGGTCATTCCTGGAGTTGAGCTGTGAAGATTAAATAAATGTAAGTGGACATTGAACTTGTGTTTCTCCAGTTATTTATGTAACGAGGTTGCCTGTAAGTGTGGAGCATATTTGAATTGTTGCTTGACTTTACTGAGAGAGAATACCCCCATCCTAGCTGGAAGATAAATGTCTTTCTGAGGGTTTACACGAAGATGAATAAAGAGTACCTGACTCAATATGAATCTATTTCCATTATTCCATTACCATAAATCCACTGAAATGGCATTTCCAACCCACAGTGGTGTTGGTTATTTCACACATTTGGTCCCCAGGGGGGATATATATATATATATATATGAATGCAGCTGGGGACTAAGAACAGGTATTTAAAATTCAAAAATTTTAAATTAAAAATTTAAATGCGCTTTGTTTCAAATAAGAGGGCAATGTTTTATGAAATTTTGCTTAACATTTTTTATGTTTGATTAAACATAAACATTTTTAGAAAAAGCCTGGACCCAAACTTTATTTCCTTGGGCTTCTATGTGTATGTGGCTCTCAACAGACTTTGGAAGGTCTAAGGGCAAAAGGTTGTTTTTGAATAGTGCATTGAAATTATGTAATAAAAAGGTTGAGAATATAATAATAGTGTAAATGTCAAATAATTTTAAGCTGTTAATCTTGAGATTTATTTTCCTAATAGGATCTTGTTTTTTCCCCCCCCAGCACTACAGTGTTTCTGCCACCTCTGTACAAAAGATAATTTTACCTGTGTGACAGATGGGCTTTGCTTTGTCTCTGTCACGGAGACCACAGACAAAGTTATACATAATAGCATGTGTATAGCTGAAATCGACCTAATTCCTCGAGATAGACCATTTGTATGTGCACCTTCTTCAAAAACTGGGTCTGTTACTACAACATATTGTTGCAATCAGGACCACTGCAATAAAATAGAGCTCCCAACTACTGGTAAGTTGTTGTATTCTTTTTTTCTGGCTACTACTAAGAAAGCTCTTAAATTCTATGATTGCAGAGAAATTCCTTCAGAAACTGAAAGGAGTTATATAAATTGTCCCACACAACTTGTTTTAAGGTAGAAGCAAGAAGTGACTTTTTCATAGTTGTAGTGTTGTAAGAATAGCCAAGATCCTGAATCCTGGATACATGTGTTGTTAGAGAAGATTGTTTCAGTGAGATTTGTTATGCCTAAAAGGGTAGTCTCTTAAAAGCAAATTCTGACACGTCCCAAAGTAGCAGTTTGTCCTCACAGTTTCCCCACCTTGTGCTCAGAATAATTTCTTCTTTGTGTAATGCGCTTGCCTGTAAAAGCAATAAACAGATGGTTAATGGGCAGGAATTGAGAATAGCACTTAATAGTCTAGATATTTTCATTTTGTAATTTCACCTTGTTTTATGATCTTTGTGTATAAGTTAAGTGTACATGATTTCTAGGTTTTTGGTATTACCCATAGTTTATATTTTAAAATGTCCTGGTAGAGTCAGCAATTTGACTCTTAAGATTGGATTGATTTTGAAGTTTTGGGTTAAGATGGAACTTTGACTACATATATTTTAAACATTTTACCACTTTCCTCAAATTCCTTTGTAATAATCAAAGGAATATAAAAATGGGAACTTACATGAATGCTAGCAGAATTAATGGAAGAATGCCACTTAAAATGCCAACACTTGTGAGGAATTTCTTCATTTATAAACAAATGACACCAGACTAGTGAAGAATGGACATACCATATAATAAGGACGCGAGTGAAAGGACCTTTTTGCAAAATCCCACTGGAAACTTAAGCTGAGGGACTAGACTTCAGGGGCAAACTCCTTCCTTCTTTTAGGGAGCCTCTGGTTCCATTGCTTAAAGTCAGACCTCAGTGTTCACTTTTAACTCAGTTGGTCCAAGCTATACACTGATTAAAGTAGGAAACAAGGCTGCAGCTCAGAAGAAAGAGGGAGCCCTCCTCCTGGTTTTAGCAAGGTAGCGCAGCACCCTGTGATAGCACTGTCAGCCTATAATGTCTTTATATAGGCACCTGCAATTCTGAAATGGCAAAGAAAGTGATAATTCCCAAATTTCCCATTTCTGTTGCTTGAACTTTGAACACCTGAATAGAAATTTTAAAAACCTTAGGTAATCACCTAATTTTTAATTCTAAATATTCACAAACTCCTCATTTTCAACTCAAAATAATCAAAGTAAAAAATTATCAAATGAAAGGGTGCAGTGGTTCAAATAAGTGGATTGAACTGGATAAGTTAGAATAGATGTAATCCTATGAAATAAGCTTCCAGTTGTTAGGGAAGAACTTTTAGACAGCCCAATGTCTGTTTTTATTTTGTTCACTACAAAATGAGAACATCTCATAGTTATTAAAAGATTGTTTTCAGAGAAAAGCTCAGTTGATGGATGCTTTTAAAAATGCAATATTGGGAGTCAACAGCAGACTGGATGCTGTGATTTTATAGCTGAGCTGGAGAAATTGTTACAATTCAGAGGAAAAAGACAGTTGGTGAGCAATTTAAGAGAGATGGGGAACAGTTCTAGGTGACACAGTATGCTTATTAGAATTCCAGAAAATGACATGAGAGCAGAAAGAAGAGAGAAAAATGTCAGGTAAGATTAATGAAAAAATAATTATTCAAATACAAATAATTTTAAAAGTATCATTTTTAAGAATGAAAAATCTATAAGCATTTAGTGCATGTAAATACTGGTTACCCATAAAAGGAAAAAACTGTTTGGACTTTCTGCTTTTTTAAATATCAAGAAGGCAGTGGAACATTCTGTATTGATTGTCAGAATTCTTGAATAAGCCCAGATTTTTTTGTGTGTGTACAAAGGCAAGAGCCATCTTTGGATAATTATTAAATGTATAAGGATCTAAATATTATTCCTAAAAGAAATTATTAGAAATAGTATTTGATATAAGAAATTAATCCAGTTGAAGATCTGAAGAATAGATAAGATGTGATATGAAAAGAAATGGTAGTGAGCAGTGAACCAGTCAGGCTCAGGATTCATGTGGTTCTGAAACAATGCAAAATGTTAATTATTGAGAAAATAAATGATCTGGAATTTAAAGTTCAGATGGTTAAAATAGGGAAAAATATATATGTATATAAACCATTGAAAAAACAAAGGACATACTTGGCCTTAAAAAATTGTTGAAGCCAGCTCTGCATGCCTGTAATCCCAGCAGTGTGGGACGCTGAGGCAGGAGTTCAAAGCCAGCTTCAGCATTGTATTGAAGGCCCTAAGCAACTTAGCCAAAATAAAGCATAAAAAAGGGCTGGAGATGTGGCTCAGTTATTAAGCACCCCTGAGTTTAATCCCTGGTATTAAAAAAAAAAAATTATTACATGTTGAAGACACTTGTACTAAAATGTGAACTGTTTTGAGATGGTGAGGTGATAATTTTTTTTCACTTTTTTGTATTTATGCATTTTTTTCCCTCTGCTATCAGCATGGACTAGTCAAGCACGTACTAGACAAGCCAAAAACACTTACGGGGGTTGGGGAATGGGGCTGAGGATGTAGCTCAGGGGTAGAACACTTGCCTTCCATACCCAAGGCCCTGGGTTCAGTCCTGTACTGAGAAAAACAAACAAGCAAGCAAAAACATTCTAAAAGACAGAGTGCAAGTTGTTTTAGGTTATTGATTCCTTTATTAGTGATCTGAGGTGACACATGGGGGAGATCCTAGGATTTTGGTGATAGTTGGCCTTGTGATTTAGATGATGGCTGGAGAATACGGGAAGAGTGAGAAGGTGTTGACAGTGCTTGAGATCATGAAAGGGGGTGGGAAGACAATGGGAGAAGACTGAATCTCTACTCCTGGATTTGAGCCTGATGAGTGGCTATGATGACCTATGACTAAGTGGAGGCAGTAGCTAATTGTAGGAAATGAGGAGGGTGAGGAAAATGTAGGTGCTGCCTCTACATTGTTATTTTTTGTTGTTGATGTTTATTTCACTTGAGACCCTTTTTCAGTAAAGCAGCCTCCTGGCCTTGGTCCCGTCGAGCTGGCAGCTGTCATTGCTGGACCGGTCTGCTTCGTCTGCATCTCACTCATGTTGATGGTCTATATCTGCCATAACCGCACTGTCATTCACCATCGAGTGCCAAATGAAGAGGATCCTTCATTAGATCGCCCTTTTATTTCAGAGGGTACTACATTAAAAGATTTAATTTATGATATGACAACATCAGGGTCTGGATCAGGTAATGTAATTGTTTCTCCTTTTTCCTAAAATGTCTTCTTTGCTATTGTTTTTTTTATTAGTTATATATAACATTAGTCTTTTAAAACTTAACTTGTGGGCTGGGAATGTGGCTCAAGTGGTAGCGCCCTCGCCTGGCATGCGCGGGGTGCTAGGTTCGATCCTCAGCACCACATAAAAATAAAATAAAGATGTTGTGTCCACTGAAAACTAAAAAATAAATATTAAAAAAAAAATTCTCTCTCTCTCTCTCTCAAAAAAAAAAAAAAACAACTTTTATTTATTACATGGCTAAGCCATTTTCCTTGGTTTATTAAAACAAATAGTATTTCTAGGGCAAACAGTATTTCTAGGTTTTTAATTTATTTTTTAATTTTTTAGTACCAGAGATTGAACCCAGAGGTACTTAACCACTGAGCCACATCTCCAGCTTTTTTTATGTTTTATTTAGAGAGAGGGTATCGTTAAGTTGCCTAGGACCTCATTAAATCTCTGAGGCTGGCTTTGAACTCACAATCCTCCTACTTTGGCAGTCAGCACTCCCCATCCGTCGCCCCCTAGCCATTGAGATTACAGCCATGTGCCAACATGCAGCTAGTATTCCAGGTTTGATCCTATGTAAAGCCGATATAAAGACCTTTAAGCTTGTTCTTACTGTAGGTAGTTTAATATAAACAAATTGGAGCTTGCTTTTACTGTTGAAACAAGACAGTAAGTCAGCTCCACAATTGTATAACTTCTAAAGCATTCTCGCTATATAATCTCATTTGCTTCTCATTACTATGTGAGATAGAAAGGATAGGGACAACTGTACTACAGATAATGCTAAAGTTCAAAGATGTTTAAATGATCCGCTCCTTATTCTATTCAGGACTATTTGGCAGCTTTAGTTTTGTATTTGAAAGTAGGCATGACTAAACTTGGCACATGCTTGGAACTAGGAAGGTTATTTGCTATTTTAACAATAGATGAAATTGCTGTTCTTTAACTCATTTCTGGTTTTTCATTAAACTAATGAATTTTAAGTCTTTTTTTCCCCCAGAAGAATGTCTAACCACCTTATTTACTTAATATGCTTTATGGATCCATGACCCTTGTCATGTTTGCTTTTATTAGGTTGTTTTGGTTGATTTTTGTGGGATAAGAAATTGCCAGAATCATCCTGAGGTAGATTTTAAAAATACTTTACTTTTAAAGGGATGGGGAATTATCTTTTACTTTTTCTTACTCATGGTTTGGAAGGAGACTGAGAGAGGAACACCCCTATACCCTACAATTTGGGATTTTGATACTTGGGGGGAATCAATAGATCTAGATTGCAGTAGAAGATTTGTCATTGATTGGCTCTATGACCTTGGTTAAACCCTATTTTTTCTTTGGGCTTCTGTTTCCTCCTCAGAAATATGAAACATATGCCATTGTTAAAAATACTTAAACTATTTTTTAGGACTTTTAAATGTGATATACTCTTTGAAAACTGTAAGTCAACTCTATATAAGGGCTAAAGTCATGGAAAAAGTGAAAATCTGAAAATATACATAATGAAAAATTAGTAATTTTATGACCAAGTGATAATAAGGAACATTAAAGCAGAAGTGACTGAGGAAGATAGCTCTGAAGCATAAAAATCACATTAATGGAAAGTTCATATAGTGACAAATGTCTGTGTTTTAAGAAAACAAATATGTATGGTATGAATATCTGTTCATTCATTTAAGTAACACAAGGAAATTAATTCCACCTGAAGCCTTCTGTAGAATTTAGCCTTACATATTCAGTAGACAAGTTCTTTCTCTGACTGCTAAAACAGGCTTGTACAGGAACCATGAGAGGTTGAACTGAGAAGGAGCAGCCGTAGTACAGAAGATAATGAAAATCTCTGCATAAGAAGCCGGAGACAAAAGGGTATTTTAGGGCTTCCCTAGGGTTTCTCATTGATTCTTAGTTTAAAGTTCAAAAGGTTCCCAGAGAAAATTTTTCTCACAGATTATTCTGGTCCAAAACTATGCTAAGGACCAAAGTCACAGAAATCAGGGTGGCCTGTATTTTTATTGCCAAACTTACACCTAGGGTCATGAAGCCCCTTATGTCCACAAGCCCACCTAAACAATTTTAGGGCATTGCTGTATGGATGGCAGTTGATTTCTGAATAAGAATATATGTGTTTACCTTTTAAAATGTAGACAGGAGCCAAGAGTAGAATTATTCTTTTTTACATTTTGTATGTATTTCTAAGTTCATCAAGGACCACAGCTCTCTGTTGTCCAAAAGCTGCTCTCTCTCCTTTCCAGCCTTCCCTTGTAAAGTGTTTTAGGCTGTTAGCTGATGTCACATGCTTGAGTTATTTTATCTTTAAAATGAAAGTGATGAATTCTGCATAGTACATGGCATTGGGCTGTTATGAAGTTCAGATGGGACAAGATGTTTGTGTAAAAGCATTTGGCAAATTTAGAGCTATGTCCAAATGACAGCATGTACTGACAACATGTAGAAGAAAATTCTGATATACAGCATCAATTTGTAACATTATACCCCAAAAAGAAAAACCTCTAAACAAAAAGAACTTAGTTTAAGACTTTTCTCATGATAGTTTATTGTTAGCTAAATTGTTTCTGAACTTATCTAAGCAGAAACCATCTTCTATTGAATGATAGCAGAAAAGGCCGTCTTTCCTTTATATTCATTAGAAAGCCTCATTGCTACCTTATGCATAAGACTCATGCCTGTGAATAAGTAAAATATCTATTCATAAATTCTATTTTAGTTCTTTCACTTCTTGAGGAAAAGTTAAAACTAAGCATTCCTTATTTTGAATTCACATGTCTATTACTCAGTACCATGATCATATTTGAGGAAAAACCTTATCTCTACCTGTTACAGACTTTAATTTTAACTTGGGAACTATAGGGAAGACAGCAAAGAATTGGGTTGTAGTAGCTCTAACGTTGAAGATAAATTAATCCCTTTTATATTAGTTTTTGTTTTTTAACTTTTTAGATGAAGATGGACACACGACCTTTATTTATATTTTATGTGGTGCTAAGAAACGACTCCAGTGCCTCATTCATGCTAGGCAAAAGCTTACCAATGAGCTACAGCCCTAGCCCCTTGTTGCATTAGTTTTAATCACAGGTTATACATGGACTCATTCTTAAACTGTAATGAAATTATAAAGCAGTGCCAGTTTTTGAAGGAGTGAATGTCTTACACAGTGGTCATTAGGTCTTTTGCATGCTTAAGATCTCTTGAAATATGTGCATACTGTCCATTTCTTATTTCCATTGTTGACTGTATGTACAGCTTTTCTGGGATGTTTTCCCTATTGATGCTTCCTCTCAAGCAGTTTTAAAGGTACAGAAGAGTAAAACAAAGAGTATAGAGATCTAAAATAGGCCTGTTTATTTTTATCTTTAGAAGAAAATCATTAAATAAAAATTCTCAAGTATTCATGCGGGTTATGGTAACCCAATATGGATAACATGGCTGACCTACATTTGGGTTTTAATTTTAATTCTCTATCTAGTGATGAAGGGAAAGACAATAAACTTCTCTTATCCTGTGCTACTTTCTTCACTATACACTTACATAAGCCCCTAAATCTGTGATGCATTTTCAAACGTGGTGTTTTTTTTTTTTCTTTTTTATTACTTGCCTATGTAACTTCCAGATTATCCTCTGAAACTTTTTAGTATACTTGAATACATGATGCAGCCCTATACAAGACTTGGATAAAATGTAATAAGTTAGTACTTAACATGTTGTATGTATTAAACAACATGTAGTAATTAGGAGTTAATTGTTTATAGAACAAAAGAGCTCCTTAATTTTAAATAAGAATTTGTCACAGATCTGTTTTTAACTAGCAGTCTCATTGTACATAAAAGTAATTATTTATAATTACACTGCCAATTGCTTTGCAGTAAGAAAAGGAAAGAATTATATGAGAAATGCACAGATGAAAAGAGAAGATTTTCTGATCCCCTAAAGACTTTAACATTTAGATTTATGAGCATTTCACACCAGGGAACATAAGGATAGATAATTTTTTACTGTCATTGAGTTAATTTGACCTAGTAAGTGGCTCTGAGTATAATTTATAAATGACACTAATTTGTGCATACATTGATTGTATAAATAAAATACTAGCATAAAACATGGTGAACTCTGGTATTTTAGTTGTTAATGTCAGTATAACTTAGAATCTGACAGTTATTTAGTGAACTGGGGATATGTTATTAAGTGATTATGCCAGATACAGAGTTGTTTAAATGTTGTAGGTAGGTACTTAATTCTTTTAAATGAAATTAGTATGGTGATATCTAAAATTATATATTTTGGAATAAGACAAGGTTAATTAGTGAAAACATAAATGTCCCATTATCAAGGTAAGTTCCTTGGTATCATTCATTCAGATTCTAGGTAGCCTAAGTCATCAGTTCCTAGCAAGTAAATTATTTGCCTTGAAATGATTTCTGTGATAATTTCTACTGATTTATTAAAAGTTAAGTCAGCGGGCTGGGGTTGTGGCTCAGCAATAAAGTGCTCGCCCTAGCACTAAAAAATAAATATTTAAAAAAAGTTAAGTCAAAATTTATTTTTCTTTTGTTCACATCCTTTCTCCTCCCATCAGTAAAATCATTACCAAATTCATGCTTCTTCTTTTTTTTTTTTTTTTTTATTAAACATTTATTTTTTAGGTGTAGTTGGACACAATGCCTTTATTTTATTTATTTATTTATATGTGGTGCTGAGGATTGAACCCAGGGCCTCACATTTGCTGGGTGAGTGCTCTACCACTGAGCTACAACCCCAGCCCACTAAGTTCATCCTTCCAAAATAAAATTTTAACTTATTCCCTGTACTCCCACCCCACCTCTGCATTTCTGGCACCCTTTTCAGACATGTTTAATAAGTCCTCTTTTATCCATAGCCCTCATTGGTCATTGTGATCCTGGCCTTTACTACTGTTCATTTCCTGGCTCTTATGTTCTCTTGCACTGCTCTTCCACATATATCCTCTCTGATTAAACAAGCTGGTTCCCAAAATAGTCATTATTAATTCCCTTCCTCTGACTTTGCTTGCATACTCCTCCTACCCAACCACCGTACTTCCTTCTCTCTCCTTTGGTCCTGTCCCTTCTGCAAATGACAGTCAAAATTCAGCTTATTTTATAAAACCAATCCCGACCCTGTCGGCAGGAGTTTTCTGGATTCTTTTATTGTATTTATTATCTTATTTTCCACTTTTCATGGATTATTTTTTTGCCAACATAGTCTGTAAATCTAGTGAGGTTTTAAGCTTCTTAAAGGTACCTGTCTGGGCCACATCTTTAGTTTCATGATGTTTGAAACACATTGTTGACTGTTTTGCATACCATTTATTTTGTCTTTAGGTTTACCATTGCTTGTTCAGAGAACAATTGCAAGAACTATTGTGTTACAAGAAAGTATTGGCAAAGGTCGATTTGGAGAAGTTTGGCGAGGAAAGTGGCGGGGAGAAGAAGTTGCCGTTAAGATATTCTCCTCAAGAGAAGAACGTTCATGGTTCCGCGAGGCAGAAATTTATCAAACTGTAATGTTGCGCCATGAAAACATCCTGGGATTTATAGCAGCAGACAATAAAGGTCAGTAAAATTTGCTTATCCTTATGTTAATTATAATAAAGTCTATATAAGTCTTTTTCCAGATATGACTGCAAAACATTGTCAAATTAGGTGAGAAATAGATGTTTATCATATAGATGAGACCTATTAAGTCAAATACAATTTTATGACAACATGTTTCAAAATGTATAGAAGGTTTATAAAATATATAGTCTATCAAAGAAAGCCATATACTTTGGTTATTTTAGTTCTGGACAGTTAGTTGATTATAGTCATAATATAGAAAAAATTTACAAATTTTGATTGCTTAAAATTTTGAGTAGGATAGGGATCAACTACTTGTTTCCTTTTAATTTCTTCTTGACTGGTATGGACAAGTCAATATAGACCAGTGACCTCATTTATAGGAGGAGTAAAAATAACTTCTTGATGTATCCTATTGTCTAAGTTGTGTGGGGCAAGATTGGTCAACTTTTTAAGTAAACTTAATTAAACAGAAATGGTTTCTACCAAATTCCCTCACTTCTGGTGACCATGTGGACATTTTCTTGACCCTGTAGTGTGGGTACTGAGGAAGTTTTATCAGTGGAGTCAGGATGAGTGATTACATTAGCAGGGACCTCACTTTGCTTCTCCCACTTTCTTGGCTTCAGTACCCACAATTCCTACTTTTACAGCTTGTGTCAAAAGACTTCTGTTACAACTCAACTCTCAACCATCCTAAACCTCAATCAAGTGTATTTTCCAGCTTTCCTGTTTTTTTTTTTTGTTTTTGTTTTAAATGCTATCATTGTCTTTTGTGGCTTGGCCAGACCTGTGGTCATCTTTTCCTTCTTTCCTGTCCCCACCTGCCCCCGTTTTTTTTTAAGCAGTATTTATTTCTTTAAAATATTGGCAGTGTATATTCTCAATTGGTAGTTATGAGTGATTTCTGTGATTTTTTTTTTTGCTTCTTTGTATTTTCAAATTTATTTACAACAAGCATATGTTGTTTTGTCTTTTTAAAATTTTATTTATAGAACACTTTTAACATTTCAGAAAAGTGAAGCACAGTATATTAATTCCCCATCAACCAACTTCAACAATTATTAACTTACTGCCAATCCTTGATTTCTGATGCTACCTACTTTCCCCTGATCAAATTGCGTGAAGCCAGTCCCAGATAATATATCTTTTCATCCATAAACATTTTCAATTCATATCTTTAAATTATGAGAAATCTACCGTTGTACTTTTTAGAAAAAAGTAATGTCATCAAATATCATTTCTGGTTCAAATATGTAGTTACCTCCTAAAAACAACAACAACAAAACCCCCACAATAGTTTATTCAGATAGGATCCCAAGTTCACGTATTGTCACATTGGGTTGATATTTCTTATACATCCCTTAAAATCCTTAGGTTTCCCCATCTTTTTTTTTTTCCTTGCAGTTGGTTGAAGAAACTGGGTTGTTTGTCCTGTGGGCTTACTATCATATTCTGTAATTTGGTGATTGAATTTCTGTAGTGTCTGTTAACTACTCTACATAAAACTGGCAATTAGATTTTGAATCCAATTAAGGCTTTATTGGTTTCCCCAAAATACATATCAGGTATATTATATACTTCCTATTGTATCACATCAGGAGGCATATAATGTTTGATAATGATAGGGACAGTGATGGATGTAAGCAGTGATTATTAGTGGCTATTATTCAGTATCAATTAATTTTAAAACAAAATAAGTTGACAAAAGCAGTAATCATAATCTGACCAGATCCTTAGTTTTTATTGTCATCTGCCTTTGACCCTAATATTTAGCTCCTTCCATATACACACACACACACACACACACACACACACACACACACATATATACATACACACAAACACACACACTCATACTGGGGATTGAACCCAAGGGCACTTGACCCCTGAGCCACATCCCCAGCCTATTTTATATTTTATTTAGAGACAGGGTCTTGCTAAGTTGCGTAGAACCTCGCTAAGTTGCGAGGCTAGCTTTGAACTTGCAATTTTCCTGCTTCAGCCTTCTGAGCCCCTGGGATTACAGGTGTGTGCCACCATGTCTGGCCTCCCCCACCCTTAAAACAACTTTCTCTTTATTATATTGTCTGACTTTCTTAGTTTATTCTTATATCTTAATAGTTGTTTCCTTCTCTCAAAGTCTTACTCTCCTTACTGATTCATAAGACAAATAGTAGTTAATTACTGCTATAAAGGACTTACTTACATTCATGGTTTCAAAGTCTATCATAGTAGTGACTCTTTAAATCTTCATTTTGAAGCTTAAGCCTGTTGGACATGTTTCAAGTTGCAAACACATGAGCACAAATTGCTGGGGCTGCTATGCCTTGAACTTTTCTTTTCCTGTTGAAGTGGATGCTGTCACCTGGTGGTCACCATGGGAAGTAGCTGACCCTACTGGCTCTTCCCTTCTTTCCCCTCTTTTCCCCTTCTTTCTTTTTTGTCAGGGTTTAATGGTCTTTGTTCAGAACCTAGCCTTTCCACCCCAATTCCCTTTTTCTTTTTCTTCAACCTCCTAATTCAGTTAATTCCACCTGAGACTGCTCTTTCTGTGCACAGCCTCTTCCATAATCTTCCTTCTGCCTCTGGTTAGTTACCTCAGAAAATCTCCCCTTTTCATCTACCAGTGTTCCTCTATTTCTTGTGTTTGTGAGTCTTTCAGAATTCAGTTATAGTTAATGGCATGCTGGTGATATGCCTTTATCAAGGAAAAGAACAGACATAAGTTTGGATAGTCAGTTTATAGTTTTTAAAGAATAAGTTAATCAAAAACTAGTATCATGAATCTCTTAAGTCCTTTTAAAGCTGAAAAATCCTCTCCAAAATCTGGGGCGTTCCCATCTCCTTCCTTAATCTCTTTTCATTAATATTGCTTTTCAGAAAGTAACAATCTTCAAAATAAAGAAGTTATTTTATATCAATTTGGCGCATTTTCTTCTTGCCATAATTTGTAGGGGACAAAATAGCACATTTTAAGCTCTCATGTGCCAAGCAATATACTAATTGCTTTAAAAAAAAAAAAAAGTAGTACTGTGTTCTGGTTTTTTTAGTCTTTTTAGCACAAAGTACCATATTATTCTTGTATAAAAGTAAATAGAGAGGCCCATTGGTTAAGAAACTTGTTTGAGGTTGTGTAATGGATAATAGACAGGCCCTAGATTTCTAGCCCAGGTCAGAATGACTCAAGGGTTTGTCTTTTATTGAACTGTACTGTGTTTTAAAAGTTGTAAAGCTTTTTGTTTTGTTTTCCTTCATGATTTGATCAAATATACAACTTTCCAGTTACTTCCAGGTTAAATAACTCTTATGGGATAGTCTAACCTAGGAGCCACCTAGTATTAATCTGTTCCTGTGAAAAAACACATTTTCAAATCCATGTTCAGCTTACAAAAGAACTCCTAGAATCCACGTTCCTAACTGTTCAGGTTTAAAATCACTTTGTGTATTTCGTTCAGTCCCAACCTTTTCAGTTTTCCTCTTCCTGACATTTTAATTTTCATCTGAGCTTCCTGTGTTTCAGAGGTACCACTCATTTTGTTTTTCTAAGCCAGCAACCTTGGAGCCATAATCATATTGTCTGGCATTTTTGTGAAATATATACTCTGTTCTGTCACTAAAGCTATGTCTCTTCTCACTGAAACTTATTTCAGTTTTGTTTTATACTATTTTTTTTCCCACTGTGGCCACACGGGGCTTACATTGCTTTTCATCTCCTTCCCTCACTATTGCCCTCCTTTTTTCCTTCCAGAAATAGCCATTGAACATCTAATCTGATCCAAGTATTCTTCTAGGTACGTAAGAGTTCCAGCTCTGCAACTTGCTTGTATAGACTCAAGAAAGTCACCACCTGTGTCTCTTAAATGAGATTAATTATCCTTGCCTTATCTCAAGAGTAGGGAACTTAAAGAGTGTGTATGTGAAAGCACATGACAAGCTGAATATACAGGAAATACAAACCTGAGGTGGCATGATATTGCAATTGTATGGTTCAGAATTAAGAATAAAAGGCAGTAATTTTATATTTTAAAATTTTTGAGTAAATCTCAAATGTTCTAGAGCCAACTGAAACACGTTATTCTGTTTTGCAGATAATGGTACATGGACTCAGCTCTGGCTGGTGTCAGATTATCATGAGCATGGATCCCTTTTTGATTACTTGAACAGATATACAGTTACTGTGGAAGGAATGATCAAACTCGCTCTGTCCACAGCAAGTGGTCTTGCCCATCTTCACATGGAGATTGTTGGTACCCAAGGTAACTCTTCAAACAGTTTAATGTCTATTTAAAACAAGAAGTCGGCCTAACTGAAGATATTTGAAATGAAGTTTTAGATGAGAAATCCTTTTCTGTTAGAAATCTCAGAGTTAGGAAATTTGTTTAGAGATTCTCTACTCATTTTAACAACACTGATATTTTTTAAGTTCTTAAAGGTAGCATTCAGTTTTTGTTTTTTTGGGGGGGGTTACCAGGGATTGAACTCAGGGGCACTTGACCACTGAGCCACATCCCCAGCCCTATTTTTTGTATTTTACTTAGAGACAGGGACTCACTGAGTTGCTTATTAGCACTTCACTTTTGCTGAAGCTGGCTTTGAACTCGTGATCTTCCTGTCTCAACCTCCCATGCCGCTTCAATTATAGGCATGCACCACTGCACCCAGAAGCATTCAGTTTTATTTACAATTTTTGAGGATCTTAGTTCTAGAATTCAAGCCTCAGAATATATTCTTTTATGTAGTATCAAATGGAATATGAAAGTGCTTTTTAAACACCAACATGCTATATACATTGTATCTGGCCATCTAATAATTATATTTGATCCTTAGATTAGGAGACTGAATGAGATAGTTTAATAGTTGACAAATTAAATACTAAGTTTTAGTTAGGAAGTTTCACTCCTCCCTCAAATCTTAAAACAACCTGTTCCTTATTATATTCTGTGAGCCTAGACTTTTTTTGTTTTTCTTATTTCTCAAAGCTGTACTCTTCTTACTGATTTGTATGAAGGCTCTAAGTCTATAAAAAATAACTTTATGTCATGGTATTTGTGTCCTGTAGGCTATCAGAGGCTGATAGAGCTCTGTGCTCAAGCTGCCACCCATTCACTACCTGGTGGCTTGCCTACTCTTCTGTTCGCATCTCTGCCAGCCCCATCTGTGTAATTACTGATTGTAACAACTTTTTGAGTTATAATTCACACATCCCACAGTTTTGCCCATTTAAAGTGTACAATTCATTGGTTTTTAAAGTACTCACACAGTTGTGCAGCCATCACCACAACCATTTACTACATCTTCATCACCCTGTAAAGAAACCCTGTCCGCTATTAGCAGTCTTTCTCTTTTAAACCCCAAACTCCTTAGTCTTAGCACTCATCTGCTTTCTGTCTCCATAGATTTGCTTATTCTGGGCATTAGTATATAGATGGAGTCTTATAATATGTGGTCTTTTGGGAATGTCGTTTTTTACACTTAGCATGTTTTCAAGGTTCACCTATATTATAGCATATATCAGTATTTCATTCATTTTTATGACTAATATTCCATTGTATGGATATATCACATTTTGTGTGTTCATGATGAACTTTTGGGTTGTGTCTGATTTGGACTATAATAAATAATAATATAGTGACCGTTAGTGTACAAATTTTTATGTAGATGCATTTTTTAGTTATCTTGGGTAGGACTTGAATAGCTGAATCATATGGTAACTACTTAATGGCTTGAGAAACTGCCAGACTGTTTTTCCTCCACTATTCTATCTTCTTCCTACCATCAGGGTTCTAGATTTTCCACATTGTAATGATTGTTTTTTAATAGCACCTTTTCTAGTAGTTGGTATTAAAGATAGCATATTTAGTATTGTATTCTTTCCAGGAATGGAATGATAGGCATATGATCTACATGTTTGGTTCCTGAACTAGAAGAGCAATTTATAGACTGTAGTTCTCGTAAAGAATGCACAAGATACCAACAAACTGACAACTTTTTTCACAACCCCAGTCTTTGAATTGATAGACTTTTATTGTTTGAGTATCAATTTTTGGAGCTTATTATTGTCTCCATTTCCTTTAAAGAAATGTAATTCCAACCAACTTTGGGTATAATGCTTCAGTTGAGGTTATTTAATACTCCCCTGAGTATGGCAGGTGATGGGACAGAAATGCTTTCATACTGGGCAGAAGGAGACGCTTTTGGTATTACTTCTTAAGCAGTCATTTTTAATTTTTGGGTTATTCAGGAAAACCAGCTATTGCTCATAGAGATTTGAAATCAAAGAATATCTTGGTGAAGAAGAATGGAACATGCTGTATTGCAGACTTAGGACTGGCAGTAAGACATGATTCAGCCACAGATACAATTGATATTGCTCCAAACCACAGAGTGGGAACAAAAAGGTATACTTGTGAATAAATGATATTTAATATCTCCTGAAATCTATTTCTTTTCCATCTCCTTATTTGTATATACGTGTCTTTTTTGAAACTGGAACTTGTACTTATTAGATTGCCCACAGGTAAGTCTCATAGTCTTACCTTCTCTGAAGCCAATGTCACCTGACTTTAAAATGATGCCTGGGGATGAAAGGCAGCCCTTTCTGAAAATATCATTAGTTATGTTAATTATAATAATGGTAGCTAATGTTTATGGGGTACCTACTATGTGGCAATCATCTTAATAGGTATTTTACACATATTGCCTCATTCAATGCCCTCAAATGAGGTGCTGTAGCTATATGCCTTTCTCTCTTCCTTAGAACTTTTTGCATGTACTGTTTCCTAGAACATACTTTCCCTGACTGTTTCCTTAACTTACACCCTTCCTTTCTCACAGGAAGCCTTTTCTAGTCCTCACTACTCTTAGGTGTCCCTGATAAGGGCACTCATAGCCCTTACCTCATTAAGTTGTAACTATTGTTTTTTTTTTCTTTTGTCTATATGTAACATTGGATTGTAAGCTTCTTGAGAGCAGTCTTGTATCCCCAGCATCCATCACGCTACCTAGTATGTGGTAGGTCCTTAATAAATATTTGTTGAGTCCATGAGTTCTCAAAAGAACCTAATTTGGTAGGCACCATTACCATTAGTTCAGAGGTGGGGAAACCACCTCCTGGAAGTTATGTGACCAACTTCATGTATATGGTAAGCTAAAAAGCTGAGATTTTTGCCCCAAAAGCCCTTCCTCTATATATGACATCATGTTGTCACAAATGTTTCTTCAAAACTATTGCCTTGACCTTGAAGAGAGCTAGCAGTTTTAGTCTATCTAAATTGTACTTATGATTTCTAGATTCATAGAGGGTATTCAGAACCCTCTCCTAGGTAAGTGGTTGCTATAAGCCTTCACGGGTCTGATCTGTAACTTTGACAGGGCTTTTGAAACTTTAGAACCCTGTACGGTAGCATCAGTATGAAGACTGCCATTCATTTCTGTTATTTTGTTTCCTGGAGTATGTCCCTACCCTTTTCATCTTCTTTTAGTGAGTAGACTTCCAGATAAAAATACATATTCCCGGGGTTGGGGATGTGGCTCAAGCGGTAGTGCGCTCGCCTGGCGTGCATGTGGCCCAGGTTCGATCCTCAGTACCACATACAAAGATGTCGTATCCGCCAAAAACTAAAAAAATAAATTAAAAAAAAAAAATACATATTCCCTATACAGTATACAAGGTGGTGTATATTAGTGTATTTATTAAGTCATACCTATTATATGTGTGTCTTCCACTAGAAGCCAAAATCAGAAGACAGATAGCATGAAACTGCAGTTTCAGCATTTTGTGGGATTTAGTTGACATCATTAATTTGCAAACCAGTGCAGATATTTAATATTTTTCTTGAGTCTAGTATGATCTCAGTTATGTAATATTGTGTGTATGTGTTTTTGTATAGAGAGAGGTCTGAAATAATCTTCATCTAAACATTTACACTGTGGTAGGAAGGAGATGAGGTTTTGCACTTGGTACTTTGTTTACTTAGGGAAATTTTTATAAATGTGAATCATTTTTAAAAGCAGAACTTTGCTAAAGAGGGGAAAAATTAATAATGAGTTTGTTTTACTATTTTATTCTCAGGGATAAAAGAAAATGTGTGAAACCGTTAAAAAATGATGTTGCTACCCTTCAATAAAATGAAATGTCAATTTCTTTTTTAGGTACATGGCCCCTGAAGTTCTAGATGATTCCATAAATATGAAACATTTTGAATCCTTCAAACGTGCTGACATCTATGCAATGGGCTTAGTGTTCTGGGAAATTGCTCGACGATGTTCCATTGGTGGTAAATTGCTCTCCCTTCTCCCAACAGTTTGTCATGAACAGAAGTTGTTCAAGAATTGCCTTCTTTTTTATTGAATGAAATTCTGTAGTCAACAATCTGATAGGTGATCACTGAGAGTACCAGAGCAAACAAAGAAGGTAAAACCTGGACCGAGGGGAATGACATGGCATGCCAGTGCCCAGCTTTACCCTAGTATCTTCCTTTTCCTGTTTCTATTTGAATTTTGGGAAGCATCAGAACCCAACCCCTTGTTATCCTGGACTGTAATATTTAGAACGGGGAATGGCTTGGGAGGCCACCCAAAGAAGCTGTTTCTAGCATGTATCTGGATCATGTATCTGGATTTTCCTTGAGATTATGGTTATTTTTTCCAGCTTGATCACTGGAGATAAATGGTAATGCAGTTGCTATCATGTTACATTAATTTTTAGAGTAATATAATTTTAACTTTTAGGTTTCACTTTAGATTAAACAGTTGTTACTGTTTATGCAAGAAATAATCTCTTAGACTTGGGGGTCCAGGCTTGACTAAGACCTAGGAGGACCTGAGGTCTTTGTGGCAGTGAGGGACAGAGTATGTCTTGGTATTATAGCAAATAGGACATGTTATTTAAAGATGCAAGTAGCTTATACTTCATGCTTGCCTTGTAGAATTCATATCTTACTGAGAGAGTAGTACCTGTACCCAGTAAGATACTGTGTCCTCATAGAATGAAATCTCATTTAATATACAGTACAGTTATAGGGGAAAATGTTAATCTAGTCATCATGGCTCATAGTTAAGCATCATTAAAAATGTCTTTTGCCAATCTCACAGCAGTGTTGAATTTCAAGGTATGGGCTCAGTTCTCAGGGAGGTGAATTGTTGATGCATGTATGGATTTAAGGTAGAGTAAACTGTGAGCCTTATTCTACATACCTGATTTAGTAATGGGAAACTGTTATAGACATCTTAGGAGAGACTTCTAATGGTTTGGCATTAGCTGAATAAATTCTTAAAAATAGACTTTTTTTTTTGCCCATATAGGAATTCATGAAGATTACCAGCTGCCTTATTATGATCTTGTACCTTCTGATCCGTCAGTTGAAGAAATGAGAAAAGTAGTTTGTGAACAGAAATTAAGGCCAAATATTCCAAACAGATGGCAGAGCTGTGAAGTGAGTATTGATTTTTAATATAAGGCCCTTTTCTAAACTGCTTCTGTGGAAATTTGCTACTTTTCTTTAAGGAAAGCAGACAAGAATTCTCTTTTCTTTTTTTCATAATAGTTAGACCATGGGTAAAAATAGAATAATTTGGTTTTCTGTTTTCAATTTTAAACACATTTAAAAAGACCATGGAGTACTGCAGTAGCCACCAGCCTATCATAACATTGTTAGATCTGCCAAATGAAGGAAGGCACCTGCTTTTTAAATGAATGCCTCCTTTTAGCCAGGGCAGCCAAGAATATTGCTTTGAGTACGGGGCAAGAATTAAGAGACCTGGATTCTAGAGAAGCCTGCTCCTGTTTCATAGTTGGACTTTGGGCAGGCCAGTTCGCTTCCCTGGACCTGAACGTCCCTTTGTAAAATGGGGAACTTGGATGAGGGGATTGCAAAGCAGCTTCAGAAGAATTTGCATTTTGGTCATCTGCTTGCCCAGATGACTAGGACTTTGGGGAAAATGGCTTCCATCAGTGTCAGAGCCTCTCATCTTCAGCTATTACAAAAAGTTTGAAATGTTTTCTTAGTTGTAAATTTAAAGAACTCATGCTACAAATTGTGTTGAATATCTTCAAAATTGATAGCCATTACTGTTGTGATATTAGTGAAGCAGGGCATAGCTTTCCAGGTTTGAAGTTGTAGAGCTTAGGAAGAATAAAAAGCTGGTTACTTCATTGGCTAATTTTACATCTTAGAATAATGTGGGACTGCACATAGCCTCTGTTATCAAAAGAAAGTGCTATCTCCAACAAAATGATATGTCCAGCCCAGAAAAGAGTTGATTTTTGACATAGTTTAACAAATGAGTTTCTTTTTAAAATTGCTTCTGGGTACTGCAAATTATAGACTAGATGTATTCATACACTCTAATAATTAGAGTGAGTATTATTAAATGATTTTTAAGTATGAAGAAAAGTCAGTTAATATTAACACATAATTTACATTTACTATCACATCAACTAAATCAATATGATCACTGTCATTTTAATTTTTTTCTTGATTTCTTTAGCTATCGGTGTACTTATTGCTAGTTCAATCCTTTACTTTTCTGAGTTTTACAAATTTCTTCTTGATAGTTTCATTTCAAGAAAGTGAAACTCGGGCTGGGGATGTGGCTCAAGTGGTAGTGCGCTCGCCTGGTATGCGTGTGGCCCGGGTTCGATCCTCACCACCACATACAAACAAAGATGTTGTGTCTGCCGAAAACTGAAAAATAAATATTGAAATTCTCTCTCTCTCTCTCTCTCTCTCTCTCTCTTTAAAAAAAAAAAAAAAAAAGAAAGTGAAACTCATTCTCTTTGCAGTCTGGACTGGTTGCTCTCAAGACCCAACTGTGCTGCTTTCGTCTTGGGATAACCCTCATTTTTCATATTGGAAATCCCTTTGCCTTTTATAGTGAATCCTCCTTCCTGGATCTCATGTCTTCCTATTTTTTGTTTATTCATTTACTCTGTTCTTTGAGGTCTCTGTTCAAATGTTGCCTTGTCAGGGAGACATTATCTTTCTACCTATTTAAAGTAGCACCCTCCTTTCTGACATTTTATCTCTAAATTATTTCTTTCCTTAGCACTTATTACTATCTGACTGGCCACGTATTTTATAGTAGTTTGTTATGTGGTTTGGCTCCCTAGATTGTAAACTGCTTTAGGACAAGGGTTTTGTCTATCTGTTCACTGCTATATTCCTAGCATCTAAAAATGGTATCTGGTGTATAGTAGGTATTCATTAAATATTTTTTGAGTATGTGCTGGCACATGGTCCCTTTTAATCTGGAAATAGTTGTTCTTTTCTAGGAAAAGTTCGTGAGGTTGCTTTCTCCTATTTTCCTTTCTTCTGTTTCTTTAGTTTTCATTACTTGAATGTTAGACCTCCTGAAGAAACCCTCTCATTTTCTTTCTGAATTTCTCATTCATCAGTTGAGTCTTTTTTTTTTCCTTCTTTGTGTCCTGGGAAGTTTATCAGGTTCATCTTCCAGTTCTTCCATTCTGTTATTATATTTATGCTCTTATATTTTAATTTCCAGGAGCACTCATTTATTCTCTGAATGTTCCTCCTGTTCATTAGTAGACATTAGAGGAAAACATCTAATATGAAGTACCGGGAAACACTGGGGAGGATGTAAAGCAATTTTGAGTAAAGAGACTATGGAGAAAAAATAAAGTGTGAAGCCAATCAAAAACAACTATCAATGATAGATACAATATCAGTATTTTATCTTTTTGAGGATAATAATAATTTTGTTTTTGGTTTTTTTTCGGTACTGGAAATTTAACCTACTTCATGCATGCAGGGCAAGCTCTCTATCACTGAGCTACATTCCCAGCCCCTAATGATTGATTTTTTAATATATTCTCTCTCTCTCCAGTTTGTTTTCTCTAAGTTGCTTTTTTTGTTTGTCTGTTTCAGTTTCTCCATTTCATGTTACTTTCCTCAAATGTATGATCATACTTCTTTCATGTTTAAAAAGGGATAGGAAACTGTACATGTGAATGGAGCTTATTCACTGCTCTTTAGGTGATCTCACTGGGTTGCTTCCTTGGGAAATTATTGATTCTGTCTCTTTAGGTCTTTCTTCTTAAGCTACACAGATTTCCAGAAAAGATTCTTGCAATCTCCTGCATGGAAGAATTTGTACATAAGGACTACCCATGTTTCTGGGAGGAAGCTTATGGTCTTAGCATTCAGTATGTTTCCAGTATGAAACTTCTGCCTTCCATGTTCCTCAAGCTGGAAATCTGTTTTTTTCTCTCAGATTTAAAACAAAATAAAACAAAACATAGGCAATACCTCTAGTTTTCTGCTGGAGTAGAGGTGGGCAGCCACCTGCCCAGGTTATGGGGGATGGAGCAGGTACCTGGGTTCTAACACTTTGAACTGATCCTCCCCCTGCCTTTTTTTTTTTTAAATCCTGAACTTCATCCTAGAGGTATTTCATGCAATGAACATGCAGTGAATTTCTCAATTTTGGGGAGACTCTGGGTGAGTCAAGTTTCTGCTTTGCCTTCTGGAGCACTGGTTTAGGATTCAGCCTTTTTAGATCTACCAAGTAGTTATCCCTTGCCCATCTGCTTTCCAACTGTTGGCATCAGTACCCTATAGATAGAAACTTAGGACATTTTCATTCATTTTCTATTACAAATAATGCCCTCCAAAACTTGTACATATGTCATTTCAAAGGAGATTTTGTAGGTAAAGATGCCTTTCCTGGCCAAGTGTGGTAGTGCGTGCCTGTAATCCCAGCTTCTTAGGGGGCTGAGGCAGGAGGATCATAAATTTAAGACTAGCCTGGGCAAATTAGCAATACCCTTGTTTCAAGAAATTAAAAAGAGGCTGGGGATGTAGCTCAATGGTAGAATGCTTGCCTAACATGTGCAAGGCCTTGGGTGCCGTCCCCACTGCCCAAGTAAGTAAATAAATAACTGATCTAGATGGATGGAAAAGTGGTGCACGCATTAATTATTTTTCTTATATTTTTTTCTTAGGCCTTGAGAGTGATGGCTAAAATCATGAGAGAATGTTGGTATGCCAATGGAGCAGCTAGGCTGACAGCCTTACGGATTAAGAAGACATTGTCACAACTCAGTCAACAGGAAGGCATCAAAATGTAATTCTACAGCTTTGCCTGAACTCTGCTTTTTTCTTCAGATCTGCTCCTGGGTTCTCGTTTGGGAGGTCAATTGTTCTACCTCACTGAGAGGGAACGGAAGGATATTGCTTCCTTTTGCAACAGTATATAAGATTGATTAAAAACTTCCCAGGATTCTTTGGACCCAGGAAACAGCCACGTGGGTCCTTTCTGTGCACTATGAACGATTCTTTCCCAGGACAGTTATAAAATGTTGTGTAGTCTATCTTTATTTTTGATTAACAAAACTTGTTTTTTTTTTTAAAGAATATTGCTGGTCTTAACTTTAGGTAACTCTGCTATGCTGAAGATCATATGTAAGGTTAAAGGAACTGGATTGTTGGGTTATATGAAACATTTCTTATTTTTAAAGAAAGTGATTTACTCCTGGTTAGTACATTCTCAGAGGATTCTGAACCACTAAAGAGTTTCCTTGATTCAGACTTTGAATGTACTGTTCTATAATTTTTCAGGATCTTAAAACTAATACTTATAAAACTCTTGAGTCTAAAAATGACCTCATATAGGGATGAGGAACATAATTTATGCAATTGTATTTTGTACACTGTTGTTCTTTCACATATTCAGAACATTACATGCCTTCAAAAGGGATTGTACTATACCAGTAAGTGCCACTTCTATGTCTTTCAAATGGAAATGAGTAGAATTGCTTAAAGTTTGTTTGCTAAATCCTATAGTGTTTGAATTTAAAAAGTTTATTTATCTGGGTAACCCAAACCTTTTCTATTTTGTTTTTTGGAAGGGTTTTTGTGATATGTCATTGGGTATTCCATTTTGAAAATGCCTTCTCCTACCAAAATGTGCTTGAACCACTAAAGAAATGCAGTGTCATGAAATCAGTTGTTCCATGGTCATGTTGGAGTAATCTCACCTCTAGCTTTTGCAGTTGAGTTGTGTGGTCTGAGTGTACTTTAAACATTCAAGCGGCACTCGAGATGCTCACAGTGCTTTAACTTAATCTTGATAGCATTCAGACTCATTTTCTATAAGGGAAAGTTTGTCTAGCTCTTGTGAGAAGTTGTGTGGTATTCTGTAAGCCATTTTGTTCTTTATTTGATCAAAGACAGTGTTATTTTTTTAAGAAATGAATTACATTTAAATTAGAATATGGTTGATGTTAAATAATAGACCTTTTTCTAGGAAGGCAAATGTAGTTAATAATTTGAATAGACAACAGATGGGTACAACAATCACATTTGTTTTGTAGGTGTAAGTGTTCAGTGGATTCCTGTTTTTGTGAGGTTAGAGTTAGTGTAGATTGGAGGTCTCGCTACACTTTGAGGAAGGCAGCTTTTAATTCAGTCTTTCCTTATCTCATACATGCAGATATTGCAGCTGCTCAATTTACATGGTTATATAATGAATTCAGTGCACCTTGATATTGGGAGAGCTGATAACTAATGGACACTGAGTAGGTTTTCCATTTACAGATGTTTTCAGTCAAATTAAATGTTTAAAGTAAACTTTTCATGGTCTTCTCAAGTGAAGTTGGAACTATCTTGTAACAACTGGTTTTTACTTTTAGTACTGTAAAGTCTCTTTGTAGGGATTTTACAGTTTGCAGAGTCTTTCTTATCACTGTGATCTTATTCTGAGGGGGGAAATCTATCTCATAGCTAAGAGGGGAACTGACCTTGTAGTGCTGTCCCTGAGAAGAGGGTCACAATAACCTTCACAGTATTTTGGTCAGAAAGATTGTGGTTATTTACACTGAATGAGTTGCATTCTGATAATGTCTTCTCCTTATACATAGAATAAATTTGAAAGACTATTTGGTCTTAAAACCAAAGTAATTTTAGAATGAATGACATATTCCATAGGAACTTAGTGTAAATTTCATGTGTTTAAAAACATCCCGGGGAAAATGTGCTTAGAGGCTAATACTTTGACCACAAATTTGAGGGTTTTTTCCTGTAGTTACTATGATTTTATTGAAGTAAATGAATAATTTTGAGAGGTTTGTTTTTATAGTTGAGTTATATTACCTGTTTAATATTCTCTAGCTCTATGATCAGGTACTAGGTTTTCTTGTTTTTGTTTTTGTCTTGGCCTTTTCTAAGCTTACAAGATCTGCTTTATGAAATCCAGGGACCAACGCATTTTATCACAAAACTATTTTTATATAATTTTAAGAATGTACCAAAAGTTGTTTGAATTAAAGTTGTAATACATGATTTCTCACTTTCAAATAAGATAATCAACTTTTAGTAAAGATAACATCAAAAATTGAGTCATACTATTCTTGCCTAAGTGGATAAAATGTACTTTTGATGAATCAGGGAATTTTTTTTTAAAGTTGAAATTTAGTTCTAAATTGAGTTTACATATTACTGCAGCTAATTTCTTTTTTGCCTAGGGACAGCTTGATGAACCCCAATTAAGTAATATTGAAAATGAAAGTAATATTAAAAGATGAGATAGGTCATAACTTCAGATAAATTTGGCTGGAGTAATACTTGTGTCATTTAGAAACATAGTCCTTTGTTTATACAGCCTGTGCTAAATGTTCACCCTCCAAGATTTAGCAGGCTAAAAAATATCTTCTAGAAAATCACTTGCCCACATCATCTTGTCAGTACCTTGAGGAGTGAGAGTGGGAAAGAATGACATAATGGGGCGTCGACATCCCTGGTCCTTCCTCCCTATCTTCAGTTCTCTTTCTTCTAGCCTGCCTTCCTGCTGGCCACTGCTCCCTACCCTTTTGACTGGAGAGTCGCTTTTGAGACCTGGAGTGAGGTGGTTGATGAAAGTTGTGGAACATACTTCCATTTCCTTGAGTCACTGGATGTGGCAGGGATGAGTGGATGAGGCTTAGAATATTCCTGCATTAATTTTAGCTAAGTAGAGTGACAGCAAGGTGGCAGCTGTGACAGTGGGAGTTGTGCCAGAAACAGTGGCCACTCATGTCCCTTGTAGGACAGTAAAGCCTGAAGAGCCGAGCCTGTAATTCTGCTGTAACAATAGTGCTCAAGAAGTGCCTTGAGTCAGTGAACAGTGCCACACCATTAAGAAATCCAGATTTCACTTCTTACTGTAAAATTTAAGTGGTCACTTGGCCAATTTGAAGTCCATGGGTGAGTTGCTTTTTTTTCCCCCTCATGTTTGAGAAGTGTCAGAGACTTTTTGTAAAACAAATGAAAAAGTGCTGATTAACATGCACAACAAAATTAGTATCCCATTAGCTATCAAAAGGTTGTTTTTATCCATGTACCGAAGAATGATTGTAAATCAACTGTTTTGTTTCTTGATTGTCACAGTGTTCTGGCTCCAAATGGTGGATACTCCAAATAAGGTTCTGTTACAGCAAGGCAGAAAATATTCAGTTATTTTGAGATCCTAAAGAATAGGATAACTCCACACATGTATTGCACCTTCTGTGTTTTGGAATGCAAGAATACTTGTGGGCCCTCTCTCTGGGAATGCTGGACTCCCTAAGACACCATGAGGACTGTCAGTACACTATTTTCAGTCCCATTATGCAGTCTTATTTTTAAATGGAAACTTTTAAAAATATGATTAATAACATTCAACCTGTTACTTAAAATTTATGAACTTCAGTGAATTTGTTTTTATTTTTAACAAGATTTGTGAATTAAATATCATGAACCGTGTTTTGATAACTCTTTTTTCACGTTGTGCCAATGGAATAGGGTGTTTTATATTTCTTTATATGTCAAGGAGATGCTTCAAAATGTCAATTGCTTTAAACTTATATTACCTCTCAAGAGACCAAGGTACATTTACCTCATTGTGTATATAATGTTTAATATTTGTCAGAGCATTCTCCAGGTTTGCAGTTTTATTTCTATAAAGTATGGGTATTATGTTGCTAAATTCAAATGGTACTGTATTGTTTATATTTGTACCCCAAATAACATCATCTGTACTTTTTGTTTTCTGTATTTTATTGTATTTGTGCAGAATTCTTTTGACTTTATCAGTGTAGTCTCTGCGCTTTCAGATATGTACAGAAATGTCCATATAAATTTTCATTTAAGTTGAATGATTTTGAAAAGCCTGTAAAGAGGAGAGAAAACATAAACTGCATTTCCCCATAAGTTTTTTAATATTGTATATTGTATTTGTAGTAATATTCCAAATGAACTGTAAATAGAAAATAGAAGAGTGAAGCTTAAGTCCTAACACTACAGTAGAAAATGAAAGCAATGCAAATAAATTACTTTTTTTCCCAAGTGCCAGTGGCTGCAGTCTTTTCTGGAAGCTTGGGATGAATAAGCTTCCAGGCTCATTCAGTTTGTTTTCAAAATGCATTCAATTTCCTGAAGTTGCAGGACTGGGATGTCCCATTTCCTTGCTGTCTGTTGCCTCTTAGAGGCTCCCTCCTCCATCCCTAAAGCCAGTTGCAGTTGGTTGAGTCCTTCACACATTTCCTTTCTCTGATCACCCTTTGGCCTCATCTCTCCTCTGCTTCTCTCTTCCATCATCTCTCTCTTTGCTTCTTGTGCTTTGCTCTTCTGCTTTTAAGGGCTCATGTTAGGATGGTCTTTCTAGTTAGTAACCTCAGTTTTATCTGCAAAGTCCTTTCACAGCAGTCCCAAGATTGGAGTTTGATTAAGTAATGGAGAATGGGAATCTACCTAACAGCAAATATGTTTTCTTTAAGTGGCATTAAGTCACATAAAGCAATAAAACTATATTGTTGGCTTTACAACATAGATGTGATGTATAATGTGGCACAACAGAGGGCACAGGAGATGGAGCAATACTGGGACAAGGGTTATTTTATTGGAATTTTATTAACCTTAATCTGAGGAAGATTGTGATAAATTTTGACATTCATGCCAAGATAATTCAATTGGAGAAATGACAATCTTTTCAATAAATGGTGCTGGAACAATAGGAACCTATATTTAAAAAGAAAGAGAGATCCTTACCTCTTTACCATTAGAGTCAAAAATTGGGAAAGTATTTGCAAATTATATAAAAAGATTTGTTTTCAGAATATATAAAGCACTTTTACAAATCAATAAGACAAATAACCCAATTAAAAACTGCTCCAAAGATTTGATAAGACATTTTCTCAAGAAAAAAAAAATGAATGTCCAATAAACAATTCCTTATAAAGACTTAATGAAATTAAAACCACAAAAAGAAAACACACACATTAGGTTGTCTTTTGTATTTTGTTTGCTTGTTTCTTTTGGTAACTCCCCAGAACCCAGAGGGGTTTACTCACTGAGCAACATCCCCCTTTTTGTTTTTTATTTTGAGACAGGGTCTCAGGTTCTTAGGGCCTTGCTAAGGCTGGCTTTCAACTCTTAATCCTCCTGCCTCAGCCTCCTGAGCTGCTGGGAGAACAAAAATGTGCCACTGCACCTTGCTAGAATGGTTATTTTTAAAAAAGAATACAATAAATACCAAGTATTAGGGAGGCTGACAATAATTCCTCACACATCCCTGGAGTGTCTAGTGTTATATATCGGCTCTTGGGAAAACAAATTGGCGATTCTTTAAAAAGTTAAATATGAACCTATTTTATGACCCAGCAATTCAGTTACTAGGCATCTATGCACAATAGAATTGCTAGATAAAGTTCAAGATGCCTAGTTAAATTTGAATATCAGATGAAGACCACATAATCGTTTAGTATAAATATGTCCCAAGTATTGAATAGGAATATACTTACACTAAAAAAAAAAATTGTTATTCATGTGACATTTAAATTTAATTGGGCATCCTGTGCTTTATCTTGCTGAATCTGGCAGCTCTAATTCAAGAAAGATGAATATATAGGGTTGGGGATGTGGCTCAAGCGGTAACGCTCGCCTGGCATGCGCGGGGTGCTGGGTTCGATTCTCCACACCACATAAAAATAAAATAAAGATGTTGTGTCCACTGAAAACTAAAAATAAAATATAAAAAAAGAAAGATGAATATATGTTAAAGGTTTGTATGTAAATGTTTGTCATTATTTTTATGTATTATGAATAATGCTATAATCTAAATGTTCATCAGCTGGTGAATTGATGTAGAAAGCAGTATTAACTGGGTGTGGAGGTTCATGCCTGTATAGTTACTTAAAAACTCAGGAAAAGGACTGGTGATTGAAAGGAAACTGGATGCAGGACTGATCATTCGGACACACCAAGGACGAAGCCAAAAGCAGATTTATTGTCTGACACCTGACAGGCTTTCTCACCCAGGGAGAAACAGCAGCACTTCCCTTTAGCCCTTGCTATTGCAGGTGGAGAGCAGGCCTCAAGACCCCAAAAACCACAAACGAAAACCGGGGGCAGGAGGGGTAAGTGCACTGTCATTAATTTCTTAGAACTGTCACCCCCTATAGATATTCAGAAAGTAGGCTAGCATCTGCAAGTGTCAGGGTGCAGGTGTGTGAAGGTGTCAACTTGTTTGTGAGTGGGCTCTTGCAGGAAGAGGAAGGGGTGTGCAGGGTGAGATGTCTGAGCAGAATGGAGTTAGCTTGACTTAACTCTTGGACCAGCCTATAGTTATGCTAACAGGCTAACAGTGGTCGTTATTTTTGGTGGGTCTGGACATTAAACAGACAAAGAGATGGAGAGAAGCTTCTGTTGTTCTTTGAACTCCTTTAATTAAAAATAACCAGCATTCCAGGGTGCTATATTTTGGGGTGATAACCCCTGGACTTTACCATTATGCTAAGTGGAAGAAGGAGAACAAAGAGACTGTACACAGGTGGGAGGGGACTTTTTCAGGTGATGGGTATATTCTAAAACTTGATTTGGGTGGTGGATGCACAACTCCATAAATTTACTATACATCATTCATTGTGCACAGAAAATGGTAGATTTTACCGTGTGTAAATTATACTCCCAAGAGACCTGTTAAAGAAACATAAAACTACTTTTTTGCCATTCTTCCCACCCCCCTGTTAGGTGCCAGTCAGACTGAGTAACTCTCCTGTTCCCCACACACCTGCTCCCTGCCCTCTGCTCAGGCTCTGCCCATTGCTGTGCTTCCCACTCCAGCTCCTGTGAATCCTCCCCTGGGCTCACCCTAAAGGGAATTTCCTCTGAATTCCTGTCCAGCCTTGGTAGATCACAGATCCCCAACAGATTACCAAATCACTTGGCTCACCTTCTAACACCTTCTAATTGCACTTCATTCCCATTTTAACCCCTTGAGTTTTTTTTTTTTTTTTTTTTTTTTAGGATTCTCTCTTTCTCCCTCTTCCCTTTGAAGGAAGCACATGATTTTCACACGTTTCCAAACACCCAGCCTGTGAATTAACAAAACAGGTTCAGTGATCACTTGGGTGCTGGATCCTTGGGTTCTGGGGGAACCTGGCTTGTTTGGGGTGCTCTGTGAGAACCACAATACCACTTCCGGGGGGGTCTTCTCTGAATGGTTCCCGGACATGCTCTGATTCTGTCATATTGTAGACACGCTCCCCACCAAGCCCTTGCACTATATTAATTTTTCATTCTTGCGTGTTTCTGAGACTGTTGCTACAATTAGATACAAATGCCCCGAGATCAAGAAGCTTGTCTGTATTTCCCTGAACCTTCTAGCCTGGCTCAGGACTGGGCTCAAAGCAGGAAGAAGCGCTCATTGAATGAATGAACCTCAGGTAAAGGAATCCTAAATAAATATGAACCCATCTGACAAGATGCTGCTATGGAGATGGACACTGGGTAGAATCAGAGTCCTTCACCACCAGGTAAGGGGTGAAGGTAAGGTCTTTATTAAACTGCTCATGAAGGCACGCCTCACCCCAGCTTCCCCTCCAGTCTTTTTGTATTTTGTTTTGAGGGATTTTGTTTGTTTGCAGGGTGCTGTTTTGTTTTTTGTTTGTTCAATTGGGTGGCAGTGGTGGGTTCTCCATCAGATTTCTTATTTCCTTCCTTATTGCCCACGGATCTCCGTTCACCTTGCTATTGTGAGCTTTTTATTTATTCCATGAACTACTTTCATTTTACTAGTTTGTATTTTTCTCATACTTGGTGTTTAAAATTAAAACAACAGCTCTCCTTAGTCAAAACCTTTAAAGAAAGATGAAAGTGTGGAACCTTTCTGGTTATTTAAATGAAAGAGCATTTTTACCTTCTTACTACCCTTCAGCATTGACTATATTACAAATTCCATACATGTTATTTGCCTCCTTATTTCTTTTCTCATATGTTCTCCCAAATAAAAAATGATTAGAATTCTTATTTCTATCATTCTCAGCCCAGCATATGAAGCTTAGCGTACCAGCTGAGTTGGGAAGTCTTTCCAGCTCTACTATTTTGTGATTTTAATATAGATTTTAATCTATATTTCTTTTTTTAAACCAAAAAAGTTAGTGAAGCCTGTTTTGATCTTATTGGGATATTTATATTTTCAGTCTTTTACTTATAAAAAGAGCAAAAGTTTGGTTCATCAGACTGTAGGGCCTGAGTTTTGAATGAATGTGTTTTAAACATGGAGGTGTGATATGGAAATCCAGGGCTTGCCAAACACAGGCTGGGTTTTGCAGGATGGCTCACCAAGTATGTAGTTTGATTCCTCTGGGACTCCTTGGCACCTTAGTTCTGTTTGAGTCATTCCAGAAGCTTTTCTACTGGGATCTGTGACTCTGGGAAGGGTCCTTGCACAGAACCCAAAGTAATAGAAGACACCAGTAAGTATCTGTTGAATACATGCATGTATTCTGAAGCCCTGGAATCTCAGTTCCCTTAGAAAAGCAAACATCCTTTCCAGAATGGAAGGTCACGTTGCCTGTTCATACATTTTCAGTGAGTAGGACAAATTCACTTTCCGGTAACATAATGCTATTTTTGGAATGTAATCATTATTTAATTCTTTCTAGCAGAGCAAAATATGTCACCCTATTGCTTCTCCCCACACGTCCTCCTGGGTACCACATGCTAAGCCTTTGCCCTGACATAGCACTGTCAGAAATTTGAAACCATGTCCCTTGGGTGGGCTTTTTAATGGGGTGAACAGTCTCTGTTTCTTCAGCTGTCACCCATACATTCCCAAGCATCTCTCAGGAAGACCCTGATTTCTTCCTCTGCTCTTGACCCAAGGTCCCTGGTGGAAGATAACCCAGATAACTGGTTTCTGAAGATCTCAGAAGGTGATATCATGTAAAAAACAAAAACTCTTTCCAGGTTAGCCTGTTCTTCAGTACATCCTCAGTAGGTGGCAGTGTTGATCTTTCGTTGGTTTTTGGTCTGTGGGAGTTCTTGGTTTTGGATGAGTTACAATA